CCCCAAAACCCCAAAACCCCAAAACCCCAAAACCCCAAAACCCCAGTCGGAAAGGGACTAACTGAAATTATAATTTAATTGCTTCAGTAAAAATGCTTCTAATTAGACCGATTTTGAAAACTCAAAAAGGGTCCACTGCAGGCTTACTCCTGGCTGGTAGGAGAGTGGCTTGAGGAATCCCAACCAGAACTTTTTGTTCGAAAGTTAATGAGGAAAGCAAGAAAGCAGAGAAGGAATATACTGAAGAACCAGGAGCAATGAGGCTGAAGATTTTGAACCAAGCTCTTGAATATGCAAAGTAGAGATTTTTAGTGATTTTTAGGGATATTGGATTCACAGATCAAGCGCTCGTCAAAGCAACTATGGATCAAGGCCTCTCACCTGCAGCGGTTGGCATGTTTGGAAGAGGGGCTACTGATTTGGTAGATTTTGCTATGGAAAAATGGTATGAGCAGTTGAAAGTAGAACTTGATGAGCTAGACCTTGAAAGAATCGGTCTTAAGGGTAGACTAAAGACAGGTATCAAGACCAGGTTGCAATACCAAATACCATACCAAAGACACTGGGCAGCTGCTATGGCATTAGGGCTACATCCATATAATTTCCCACAGGTGCTCTATAGACATCATAAGATTAGTGATCATATCTGGTATGTTGCTGGTGATGATAGCCTCGATTATAATTGGTACACAAAGAGAGCAGCTCTTTCTACAGTTTATGCTACTACAGAACTTTACATGGTTCAAGATCAATCTAAAGATTTCAGAGATACTTGGGAATTCCTGGATAACCGAATTAATGATATCATACAAGCAGGGGGCATGGCTGAAAATATTCATTACACTATAATCGGAATGAGCAGAGGGCTTTTATCAATGGCTTCTGCTTTTATGCCAGAGGGTAGTTACACTAAAGAAGCAGACGAATTCGAAAGAGCTCAGGCAAGATATCAAGCTAAAGGTATTTAGTCATTCCTACATGAATCTCTAATATCATAGAACAAGCCAAGAAAGAGACCCATGATAAAGCTCATACCTCTTCTGAGGATAAGTCTAATCAAGAGACCAAGGACGAGAACAAAGGTTCAGAGAAAGGTGCGTCACCAGATACAGGAAAGAATCAGGAATCTTCCCAGAAATCATAGATCTTGTTGAAATAGTAATGTGTATATTTTTTAGCTTAGAGGTATATTCAATTTTTTACGGAAAAAAGGGGTTTTGGGGTTTTGGGGTTTTGGGGTTTTGGGG